CTAATAAGAGTGTAATTATACAGCTATTGCCAAGTTGAGGAAGGGCAGAGACCATTAAAATGCCATTTTCGGAGTTAATTATATGGTGTTTCAAGTCAATGCTGCTGTCCTGATTTTTGTTTAATCTGCATGTGGCATGTATTTACGATCTTATGTTCATGACATCTAATTTCTATTTTAAGGAACTTTAGGCCACTGCACCACGAAAAACTGTTAGAAAATATTGTAGTCCCAATAGGCTTTTTGCCTGTTGGATTTGATTAAGAAATATGCAAAAGTAATAGAGGAGATGGGAGAAAGCTTAGCAAATAGTTTGGGACCAGCACAGATACCATAAATAAATAAAGCCTTGCAGTGGAATTTGGTTAGTTAAATCTTTTCGGAAACTCGTTTAATAGTTGCAGAGCTTCTGCTCCTGCCCAGACTTAGGCAGCTGTAATTTGGTCCAAGGTTACTCTTGGACTTCTGTGTTATTAGCTTTTCAGTTTATATTCTTCCACTTGTGCAGCTTCTCAAGTGAAACTACATAATGGTTTGACTAAAACTGGGATCCTTTGAATATGAGGTTTAAATTGGAATTCTTCAAAAACATTTAATGAAAGCCCTACATGAGGCAGACGTCAGGATTTGCTCTTCGATTGGTAGGCTTGTGGAGGGGAGAGCAGATTAGACTCCTTTGCAGTTGATGTGCTGCCTGGAGGAAGTGACATTTATGCTCTTGATCCTTCAGTGATTCTGCATGTCAAGAGCTGAGCCTTGAAATTCGTCAGCAGTGCTGTCTTAGGAGCAGACAGGGCTGCGTAAGAGGATTTTTACGGTGGTGGGGGGGAACTCAACTCCAATGGCTGTAGCAGGTCCTTAAGTGCTTCAAAAAAAAAAATTATTTTTTTCACCTCTCCCCTTTAGGAGATCGGAAAGGGAAATCGCTTTAAATCACCAACCAATATATTTTTGAAGTTGACAAATCTGCGATGCATTAGAATTCAGAGACCTCCTTTTGCTTAAGGTAAGAAAGGAGCAGATTCTTCCCGTTTCCTGCTTAATAAATGTGTGCGTTGGGTTTAACTCTCCGGCTTGAGTTTCTGGAGACTGTACTGCATTTAGTGTACTGTCAATGCCGAAATGGTTAACGTTCATTCAGTTTAATAACTTGCAGCTGCGTGAGGCTCAGTGTTTGCAGAAGGTGTGGTGGTGCTAGCCAGCTCCCGTCCGCCCGGAGGAGCGCAAGCAGGCTGCTCATCACGAGGACCATCGCAGCCCGCTCCTAGCGTGGTCGGCCGGAGATGAGCTGGTTGTTTTTTGTCGTGTAGTTGAAGGTCTGTCATGCATGAAACCTAATCTGCAGGGGATCTTATTTTCCTCGTTTGGACGGTAAGCAAGCTTGGTGACTCCTGAAGGATGGTGGGGGAGAAGAGGGTGGAGGTGGTGAAAATCCTCACTTGCGAGAGGTAGGAGCTGTATGCGTTCGCGGAAACGTGAGCCTGGGTAAGCTGTAGTTGGGTTGCCATGGTATCCTTCAGTTACTCAAGTGTGAGTGTTTGTAAATATCACCAGTGAGTTATTCCCGGTAAGATGGTGTGTGAGAATGGGTCTGCCTGCTATTAGCCTAGTGGTTTGTTTTTATGTAAGAAATGTGTTAATGACCTTCTTTTGTATGTTGTGTGTAATTATCCGTGCTGTAAGCATGATTTCTGCAGCACGGAAGAGCCAGGATTTTTATCCTGTTGTATTTATGTAGAGGTTTGGGGAGACTGTATAAAATACATGTTTTAGCAAAACTACAGCTTGAGTGTCTATGACTTCCTAATTTTCAGGCGGTAGAAGCTTCGCCTGATCAGTAATTTAGTGATTTTTGTACTTAAGAGTTTGTTTACTAGTTGTGGTATAACGTAACTTGAGGAAGCCTAATTCAGAAGGAGAGAAGCCCAAACTGGAGACCAGAAAATCTTGTCTAGGGTTTCCAGTGTGCCTCTTATGTTACGGTACAACGAGAGAAGCTGTTTTGGAGCTGCTACACCAGAAAAGTGAAATTCAAAGCATTTCGGAATGATTAAAGGAAACTTTAAACTTCTGTCCAGTAATTAATACCTGCTGCTCTTGTGTGCTTAATCTAAACTTGGCAAATTTTATTTTTCAGCATTTTACTGTTGAATTCATTCAGTTTAGGTAAGTACTCCCTGTGGATCTGTTCAGGTTAATCTCCGAAGTTCATGTTTATAGCCTGCTCTGGTTTGCGTGAGCTGTCATTTCAAATTACTCTGTGCTGCAGGATTATCCAAGGCACAGAATGGTTTCAATTCTCTCTTGTTATTTTTAAATGAGCCGAAAAGAGCATCCATTTTAGCAGTTAAAACCTGCAGTCAAAAGTAGCAAGCGAATGTTTAACAGGAGAGAGAAACTTGTTTGGAAAAGCATCCATTTTGTGTTACTGTGCTGTGCCTTTTTCATCTCCTGTGCGGCTGAAGTAGAAAACAAAACGCACCGAATCCCTTGTGCAGTTTTTCCAGCGGCTTAAAACGTTCACCGTTCTGTCACGTAGTATGTTCTCAAAGTCTGCTCCTGAATTGTCTGACTTGTCCAACTCGTCATACTTCCCAGACCTTTTCAAACTTAACTGATCATAAAGTATGCCTTTTATTAACCTCTAGGCAACAGAATTTCAGAGAATATCCTACCTGGCAGGGGAATAAAATTTTGCTGCTGGGTTTTCAAGTACGTATCCTCTTAATCGTGCCTAGTAATCTGCTTATGTGAGCGTCATAATTTTTTTTTTTTATATAAAAAAGTGGGGTGGTTTTTTTTGTTGTTTATGGTGAAAGTAGTTCAAGATCTGAATTGCGAGGGATAGATGAAATTAAGCAGCAGAAACACTGCCAGTCTACAAAGCTTTAATGTGTTAATGCAGTCTAGACACTGTATGTGTTTAGAGGCAGTCTAGATTTAATCCTGAAGAAAAAGCAGTTATTCATAGACTTCTGTCTCGATCATGTTTCTCCGTAAGTGATGGATAGTGTGGAACAGGGGTTTGGAGGAGGCATTGAAAATTACTTGCTGCTGCTAGAACTGTATCAGCTATTAATTGTCCCCAAGTTCAGTACTGGTTTAAAAAACTGCTGGGGAGGGTGGAAGATGAAAGAATGATGTTTGGAAGAGGTCTTAGCTTTGTGTAGACTCTTTTTGCCTTTGTGAATTACTCAGTTTTTCAAGTCTGCTATATTGCTATATTTAATATGTTTTAAATGACATTGAATCAGTTAATATGGTAAAAGAAAAGACCCGGGTGGACTGCTACCTTGTCTGCCGGGGAACGGCAGAAGATAGTCTATTGACAGACTGAACAGTCGCGTGAAGTTTGTTTTATACAAACAGGGAGCATTTTAGCATCTGCTAAAAGGGGATTTTGATAGACCAGGACAGAGAAGCTTTCTGGAGGCAGCGTCTCTGTTCTAGTGCAGTGCCTGACCCTGGCTGGAGCCTTCGGATGCACTGCTACATAAAGTAATAATTTATAGGCTCTCAGTGGGGTTGAAAGTGAATTAAGAGTGAATGCATTGAATTTCTAAATGAAAGAGCCCTATATCATCTAGAAGAAAACAGATCGGTATTATAGGTCTATTAATTTTTTTATGCTTGAATATTGAACAGTTGGTAGACAGAAATGTTAGGAGAAAACTCTGTTCTTGACTGGGGGGGGGGGGGGGGAGAGGGAACACCTTTTTTAAAGAAACTTTAAAAATACTTGTGAAAGAATGGGTTGTTTTGCCTGAGACCTTAAAGGTCTTACGTTGTTTCTCCCTGCAGTAACTTGCTGTTTACACCTGCATGGTAAATATGCCTTGTGGATACCAGGTCACGTCTTTGGTTTTCTGTGTTAGTCTTTCCTTCCTGTAACATCTCCAGGTAATCATGGTCCATCCAAAGCAGCAAAGACATTATAGATGACTTTTTTCAGGAATATGCCTTTTACTGAAGCCTTTTTATCCTTTTTGATGGCCTCGTTTAGTGTTTCCAGAGCTAGTTCTTAAATGAGCTTTTTCTGTAATAATTCTGTGATGATCTCTTATTATTCTTATGCTTCAGTGGTAACATTTCAGCTGTGATAATTAGGTTAAAGTCTTTGCAAGTTGTTTGATCCATCGTATGTTTTAAATATCTGAGTCTGTGTATCTATAACACACCTACTGGAAAAAAAAAAAAACCCCCGACTCCGTCAGTCCCTCAGTGAAATGCAGCTGGATGGCTTTTAAACCACAGAAGAGGCTTAGAATTTTTGTTTGTATTTCTGCTTTGTGTTAATTAAGACTTCAGCTAATTTTTAACTAGCAACATCTGAAAAAAGGTCATTTTGGAAGATCCTTATGAAGATTTGAATCAAGCAAGAGTATCACTTCTGTGACTGTCGTGATGCTGATTCGGCGCTGCAAGGTGGCACCGCGGAGGAACTCTTTTGTGGAATTTGATGCTCTCTCGGCTGAGTGGGAGGAGATCGTGACAGCAAGCCCACTAACAGTGTCTTGAGGGACCTACTTCCCGTGCTTGAAATACATGGCTAAGCCTTCCCTTCCCTCTTATTTTATGGTCATGGCAGAGTCTGGGTTGGCATATCCAGCCCTGCTTCTCCAGCAGGGTCCTTTTCTGAAGAACCAGCTTGTTTTTGGAAATTTCCACGAGTTCACTGCGTTTTGTGTCCTGTGTTCAGCCGTCTCCCTGTGGAGATGAGACTGGCGGTGTTTCAGGGGCTGTGTCCAACATGCATTTCTATAGCTACTGTGCAAATGTCACATCACCATATTTTATTACCCTAAGTGGGAATTAGTTTCTGTAAGCAGATGGCAGAAAGGTGGTTTGGTTAATTTGTGCCTACTTGAAATAAGTAACTAAATATGTGTTAAACCATTGATTTATTAGGCCAGAGCATATTAGTGGTAGATAAGTGGTGATGTTAGATTGCAAACTGAGAAACACTGAGGACCCAGACAGGTATTTCAAAGTGAAACAAAAAAGTTGAAAAGCTCTGTCGTGGTTAGAGCCTGAAAATAATCAGTGTTTACAAATCGTGACATTAGAAAGCACAAGAAAGTGGTGATCGCTTGCTCCCTGGATAACTTGCCTCACAAAGAATTGTTGTCTAGTAAATTCAGCGTTTCTCTTGCAAAATCTCTGTTGGGCTATTTTCTTGCTCGCTTGGCTCATAGAGCAACATACATCTGACAGGCACTGCAAGGATGCAAGATACGTGCTGGCCTTTATTTGCCCAGGTGGGCATGGGTCTGTACCCAGCCTAGCACTGGTCTGCCTTCACTGGGAAAAGGTCTGCCCGTGCAGTCCGAAGCTGGTCTTTTGGCTTTGGTCTTCACAGAAGGTGAAACTTTCTTTAGAGCAATACACCTGGAAGAGGGGTAAAAGAACTTAATATTTAAATAATGCTAATCACTGATTCTTGTGGAATTTGCGACAAAGTAGTATTTCTCTCTCACGTGAACTCTATTTTTTATATATATATATGCACACACATATATATACACACACACACACACATATGCATATGTATGTATATAAATGTATATCAGTTGCAGTAGATGAGCTCTGTTGCTATTTACTTGTTTGCCAAAGAGTTAATGTTCTTTGTATGGTGAACGGTGGAGCTACTGCCCTTGCTGCAGCTACAAATTATCTTTCTATTGTTTCTGCTTTGGCAGAATGTCTCTGAAAAATGCCAGGCAGTACAAATCCGAGTGGAACTAGCATAATAGTTAAGTGAAGGCTGGAAAATATTGCCATGCCCTCTCTGGAGTTATCTTTCAGTTGGAGTTCTGTAAACAGTTTTTCTATAGCAAGGGTTATAGCTAGGGGAACAAAAGAAAGCTAAGCTAATAAGAGTTGAAAAAGGAAAAAAAAAAAAAAAAATCTCCTCCGTCCCCCCCCCCCCCCAATTCTGTGGATTCACAAGCCTATCAAAGCGAAGAATCTGATGTGCCCAGATCAGGTGGGTTTTTGTTGCAGCCG